GCCTCTCATAAAAATCAGTATTCACTCCAAATTCATCAATATTCTACATTTGTTAGAATGTAAGATACTTGAGCCCAGGGCTTATTTTATTTTTGCATTTTATCCCCAACTTCTACCACAGAGTAACACATAGAGTAATGCATTTGATAAATATTAATTGAATTTGTTAAATCTCTCTGGATTTTGTGTATCAAGTTTGTGTGAAGGAGAAAGCAAATATTTGTGTCAAGAAGAGTGTAGAAAGGTAAATCTAAGCTTACAACGGCACTAGCTTCCTGGGAAGATCTTGGCCTGCCATCTTCATTTTGGGAGCTAGCTGTCCTGAGAACTGAGACTCTCAACAGAGCAAAAGTGGGAAGGCCTTGCCAAACCATCCTTGGGGTAAGAATCCATATTCTTTCTGAAACAGCACAACAATACTGCAGCTAAAGAGTTAGGTTGGAGAAAAGGAGACCATGAAAGCTTTGTGGCATGGAGATAGTGGCAGGGCCATCAGAAATGTGGCAATGAGATTATTTGGGCCAACTGGGAGGACCCAAGGAGTGTTAGGAAAGGTGATATATTGTAATTCTGTTATCTCCCTTTTCATCAGGGGTCGTTTAAGGAAGCCTGCGCCCTTTCATTCTGGGCATGGGGAACATCTATTTATCTTTCTTTATTTTAAATGGTCACTCTGTCTTTATAAACATTGTTAACTATAGGCCTCTGCTAGTCTGGGTACAGTTACTTAGTGGAAATACAGTTGAGAGGAAGCAATTAAGGGGTCAATATTCATAGAGAAAAAAAAGAGAAAGATTTGACACTGATAACGTTTTGCCAAACAACTGTCTCTGTCTGGGGACCCAGAGTTGGGAAATTAAAAAAAATGAAAAAGGAAGAGAGAATTATAGCTACTCTCTGAACCAAGAATGAGCATTTGTATGAGGAAATTTGTCTAGGCCATAGTAGAGTGAAATACTTTAGGAGTGACTAAACAAGCTGGATCACCACCCTACCTCACTACGGCTACAGATATATTGTCAAAGATTTTATTACTTAAGGAACTGATTTCTTTTATGTGGTTACTCTCTCTACTGAGGTCCATCCAGGAGTGTGCTGGTAAATGTTTAACAACCAGCTGTCTGAAAAATGTTTTATACCCACAATTAAGTTTAATCTGCATTATTAATACTTTCTTATGTCTAGATTATCAGTAAAACAATAAATCAATTCCTGATTTGTTGCTTTTGCCAATTTCCACAGTAAAAATGATCACATGGAATTTAACAATCAACTCTTATGGTCTGGCTCAAGCATATGTTGATGTGTATGTTCCATTCTACTCCTGCTCCCTCACAAGCTTTCGTCTTGAAGAATTCCTATAGTTGAAATTCATCCCTGTATTGCCTCTTCCAGGGAACGAGCCTCTTTAAACCTAGGCTGCTTTTGAATGATAAACATCTTTCTAAATACACAGGACCCACCAGATTTTAGGTTCGAGTAACATGACATTCAAGAACCCAAGGCTGCACACCTCTATTACACAAGAAAGTATGACAGGAGAATTTTAACGGATGATGCAAATTCAAAACATTTGCCCAAGTTAACCAATGAGAAGCTCACTACTTACGTGGTGCCCTGTTGCATTTTTGATTGGATTGAGTGTATTTTCTTCTTATGTGGGTATGAACATAGTCAGAAAGCTATTTTTCCCACACCAGTGATTTTATCAGTACAGAGGGCTCTCAGTGACCAGCAATCTCTATCAACACAGAGCAGGTGAACTTACAGTCGTGGAGAGATGGGGTCACTGAGAAGCCGAGTGGCTTCCTCAGGGTCATCTAAGTAGGACTGTCAAGAGCAAAATTTGGACCTAGGTCTCCTGAACTCCAAAGGTAGCTCCCTACTCACTAAGCAACACTGCCTCTTAGAAAGGAGGGGATTATTTCTACTAGACAACCTTTTCGGATGATAACGACTTTTTACTTGAACTTGCTAGACCCTGATCTCCAGGTTTTAGACTCATTGTGTGGTCCTCTGAATTTATTCTAGTAAGAATTTTACCCATGACAATGTGCCTTAACAGGTAGAAAGAACAGCTGCTCGCCAAGTCACAAATAGCAAGACTTCAGTATTGTATAATGGGTTTGGAGTCAGGGGTTATCAGTTCAAAATCTTGGCTGGGCTACTTCCTACCTTCGTGACCTTGGGCAAGTCATCTCACTGGGCCCCAGTTTCTTACTCTAAAATGAGGAGATTGAACTAAATGGCCTGTAATTTTCCTTTCAGCTCTAGACCTAAGCTCCTATGATCTTCTGCTAACTTTCACTTTCATTAGGAACTGGCAACCAACTCAAACATGAGAAAAAAAACAACCATCAATATTTGTGAGAGGATGGAATTTTCAAACATACTCGGGCAACTTTTTATGTACAGACAAGTTTGACTGAATCCTCCTAAAACAACAGTTGAATCTCACCAAGCTCCTTTAAATTTTTTCCAGGGGTAGGGGAAGAGAAAAAAATCAGGGAGAACAATCAAAATGGTGATTTTTCTCCCTGTCATTGAAGCAGCTAGTACAGAGCATAGAACTTAGAGTCAAGATGATCTGAGTTCAAATTCTGCCTTAGACACTTACTAGCTGTGTAACCCTGGACAAGTCATTTCATCTCTCTGTGCCTCAGTTTCTCTATCTGCATAATGGGAATAATGACACTTCATAGGGTTGTTGTGAGGATCAAATGAGTTAATATACATAGCTCATTTGTAAACTTTCAAACATTACATAAATATTGGCTATTATTTTTATTTCTATTATTATTCATAGACCATAGGTTTAGAGCTGAAAGGACCACTTTAGATGTCCTATTCCAGCCTCCTCATTTTACATATGAGGGATTTGGGGAGACTCACAGAGGTTCTGTGACTTGCCCAAAGTTAGACAGCAGCTAAGTGGTAAAGTGGAGATTTGAACCATTGTCTTCTGACTCCAAATGCCTCTTTCCATGGTCCTTCCTGTTTAGACAGCATCCCATAAATAGAGTCTCACTTGTCTAAGCACTGGGTATCTAGGTTATAAATCTTGCAGTATTTCCTGCTTTGTAGGTTGAAAATACAAATCATTTCATTAGCAGATCTCCTGGCTGCCAGCTGGGTAGTTGGTGAGGCAAGTCTAAGGGAGTATTCTGCAGGTGAGCTAATTAGCACAAGGCAGCTGGAAAGCCAGCCAGTGCCAGGCTTCCCTGTCTCCACTTGTTTGAAGTGTTTCTGTGCAATAATTGACTTCAAGTGGCACCTCAGTGATCAGAATTAGGGCAGAGTGGCCGGTTGGGCTCTGTTTTATTCAGATGGCTGAACAGCAAGTGAAACGTGAAGATAGCATGGAGTTTTTTAATGTGTTTTTGTCTTTGCACTTCAGAAACGAGTTTGCTGCTGGGCCCAGGTGCTTTGTGGAGTTGTACTCAGCTTGGCCTGGAACGTTAATTTTGGTTGTTTTTATTCAAGCCGACGACTCTTCCCTTTCTCCATGACTAACTTCAGTGGTTACGGATAGCAAAAGTAAGGAGAGGTTGGGTGCTCACTCCATTCAGTCTAAAATCTCACCGAACGTGGATTGGCATCACTTATCTTTTAGCTATGGAATAGTGGCAAGAGTGTTCAGGACTCATTCTGAATACTTGGGTTTAAGTCCCAGCTCTGCTACTTATGAGCAGTACTACTTGCCAATCATTGTGAGCCTCCCTAAAATGGGGATGATATCACAGAAACTTAGAGACACAAGAGACCTCAGCAACCATCTAGTCTAACCCACTTCTGGTCAAGAAGTGCAGCTACCATACCCTCTACCACCAAGTCTTTTCTCCTGGCTCAATATCCCCAGTTCCTTCAACCATGTTTTTGGGGACACTTTCTGGTTTATCAACATCCTTCCAAAAATGTGGTGCCCAGAAGGGACCACAATACTCCATCCAGATGACCAGGGCAGAAAGCAGCAGGACTATTCCCTCACTGGTCCTGACCACTATTTTTTTGAACATAGCCCATTGAAGATAAAGCTGGCGTCATCATGGGTGCTCTATCTTCAGTAACATCTCATTATGGACCAGTAGCCCTCAGGTGGAGAAGCAATGTTTCCATAAAATAGAAATTTCCCTTAAGTTTAATACTTTCAGAGTATTATTCAGGTAATAGAAATCAACATTTCTTTTTTTGTTTTTTGGTTTAACCCTTATTTTTATTCAATGCCCCCCCAATGGCACCCAAGTAAAGTCCCCCATTTTATAGAGGAGGAAACCGAAGTCCAGAGAACAAAGTGTATTGCCCAAGGTCAGGCAGATTTCAGTGGCAGAATTAGGATTTGACCTGGGTTCAAATCCCAGCTCAGTCATTCTCCTCTACCTGTACAACCTTCGACAAGTTCAGAAGTCAACATTTCTAAATAAATTGGGGAGAATAGAAGAGTTAATGAAAACTTTTGACCTTTTCCCTGAGATTATTCAGTCTGGGCCTGCTGGGTATTGGAATGGATGGAACCCTGGCTGCCCCAATTTGAACCTACATATCCCACTGTTGATTGCCCTTGCAGGTAGATACTACTGGCAACTTCTCTTTTATTTGTCAATCTGATTTTCTGAAACCATGTGTAAGATTCTATATTTATTCCTAATAAATTTGATCACATTCAATTTGGCCCAGTGTTATACCCTATCAAGACCATTCTAAATCCTCTCTTTGAATTCCCTCTCCCCCTCCTTCCTTCCTTCCTTCCTTCCTTCCTTCCTTCCTTCCTTCCTTCCTTCCTTCCTTCCTTCCTTCCTTCCTTCCTTCCTTCCTTCCTTCCTTCCTTCTTCTCTCCCTCTCTCTCTTTTTCTAATTGGGGGATTAATTATGAATGAAAACATTTCATCTTTGTAACAGCTGTATTTCTGTAACCCAGTCATGAAGGAAGGCACTGTTTTCCCTCCCAGATCAATGAAAACAAAGTCCCCTTTAACACCTGTGACTTGGGTTCTCTCTTTCAGCCTCCATCGTCCTACAGAAATGGTGGTGTCATATGAACCCATGCCTGGATGGAGAGGATTGTAAGGTGCTTCCAGATTATTCTGGCTGGTCTTGCAGCAGTGGCAACAAAGTCAAAACCACCAAGGTAAGCATAGGGGAAAAACACAAACAGAATCAATGGCTGTGGCCAGTTATTAATGATGTTTACTTTTCATGGTTTTCTAATTTAGACATTGAGAGAGCTGTATTTCATGTTGATCAAGCTGGTTGTTCTTCTGCCACCCCATGGTTTGGCCTTTACTAAAAAGAGATTTCCCAGCATCCTCCTTTGCGTCAGGTTTTATGGAGCTGTGATTTGGTGCAGTAGCTTGTTGTTTAGTCAGTGATACTAAATTTATTTCACTTCTTTTGTGAGTCTGATTTAAAGCAGAGGTTCTCTAGATGACAGGCTAATGTATCAAAACACTATGGCAAATATCCCCATACAGACGGATCCTGGAAATAGAAATGCTCCTTAAAAAGAAAATCATTGTTTATCTGATAGAAAATGTGTTTCAAATGATAGAAGCCAATATTTTTAAATAAATGGGGTGGGGGACAGGAAGAATGAAGACATTTGACAAGTCACTTGTCTAGTCTCTGCCCTCTTTTTTCTCTATAAAATGAAGTTGTTTTAAGGTCCCGTCCCATTTCTGAATCTATGATCCTACTAGTAAATATTATCACCATATGTGTTTGTTGATGCTAATAAATTAGAAATCTAAAAAAAAAATAACCCTTTAAATACTCTTCCCTCTAGTGTCTTACATTCACTTGTCGACACTAAACTTTTCCTTTGCTTTGAATTTTGGGGCCATGGAGCAGCACTTTTGGTGATCCTTTCATAACAGTAAAAACTAGACAATGAATATAAGCCAAATGGGTTCTGGAAATTAAGATTAAGGGACATAACTCAGTCTCCTTAGCAGATCTGCCCTCTATAGTCAGATATTGCTCTATGGTACATTGGCATATATATACCTTAGGATTATTAGGGTGCTGTGTGCTAGAAAGCAAGGCCTACTGTTACTAAATTTATTCTGTATTAGTGACATTTCATTGAGTACTTCCAAAAAGTCATAGTCACATCATTCTGCTCCCTAAGTCACTGTGCTACAAAATGCTTTGTAATAGTGGGCCACTGGAGGATCATTCTGAAGCCATAAAACTTTGTTTCCTTTATTAATCCGGGGAAGTGTGACTTAGACTGTGTAAAACATTTTATGTCTTTTATAGAGCCTATGCACATCTAGGAAATTCATTTGTGTGGCTGTGCCCACCTTTCAGGCTTAGCCTATTGTGCACTGAGGAAAAAGAAACAATAACTCATGGCCCCTTGTCATCAGCTCAGATATTTTAGCTAGACATATTTACTGTGCAGAAAAAGAGTATTGACTAGTTGATATTTTCAACAATTAATCAATCAATAGACATTTATTATGTACCTACTATGTGCCAGGCACTGTGCTAAGTGCTGGGGGTACAAAAAGAGGCAGAGGACAGTCCCTACCTTCAAAGAGCTTATAATCTAATGAGGGAGAAAACATGCAAACAGATATATGCAAGGTGAGCTATATACAGGACAAATAGGAAGTAATTAATAGAGGGAAGGTGCTGCAATTAAAAGGGGACAAAGAAGACTTGCTTTAGAAGGGGGATGAGGCAAAGACATCAGTAGTCAAAGTTGGGGAGAGAAAGCATTCCAGGCATAGAGTGCAGCCAGAGAAAATTCTGGGAGCTAAGAGATTGAGCATCTTTGTTTGTGGGACAGCCAGTTGATGTCACAAGAATGAAAAGTACATGTTGGGGAGTAAGGAGCAAGAAGAGTGGAAAGGCAGGAATGGGCTAGGTTATGGAGGGCTTTGAATGCCAAACAGAGCATTTTATATTTGATTCTGGATGTGATAGGGAAACACTGGAGTATATTGAGTAGGGGGATGACATGATCTTTCCTGTGCTTTAGAAAAATCATTTTAGAGACTGAATAGAACATAGATTGGTGTAGGGAGAGACTTGAGGCAGGCAGGCTCACTGACAGGCTTTCATAGTCTAGGTGTAAGTAATGAGAGCTTGCCCCAGAGTAGTGGCAGCATCAGAGGAGAAAAGGAAGTGTATTCAAGAGATCACCTTTGTAATGGCTTGGATGGAAGGGTCAGACAGAGTGAGAAATCCAGGATCACTCCTAGATTGGGAGCCCAAGGGACTGTGAGGATGATGTTGTCCTCTCTACAGTTATAGAGAGGGGTATGTGGTTTGTGTGTGTGTGTGTGTGTGTGTGTGTGTGTGTGTGTGTGTGTGTGTGTGTGTGTGTGTGTATGTATGTGTGTGTGTGATGGTTTAGGGTGAAAGATACAATAATACATTCAGAACAGAAATAAAATGTCCAAAGGAGGAATAAGATATGATTTTCTACAGAGAGTCACCCAGGTTGGAAGTTGATCCTGAATTTAAATAGAAATGTGAAAAAAGTATGCAGCCAATAGGAATTACATGGCAGAGTCATGGTAATTACACAGAGATGTGGTAATTAGATGTGGGGGTCATTTCTAACCAGTCATCTCTTTTTTTGTGTAGACAAAGATTTCTTTCTTAGAACATTCTTTTAAAAAACAATTATTTTTTTATTCTGGACTTAATAAACATCAAATAAAATGTGCATTTCCATAAATAAAGTAGGACAGAAAAAGAGGGTTGTACCTTATAAGGTGAGCCTCCATTATATACAGCTTTCTTTTACACATATGACAAAGTCAACATGAAACTTTCAAAGCTGAGCTACTTATCTGTGATTCCTTCTGGCCTTCCTCTTCTGTGCAAATGCTTTACTGACCTTCTTTACTTTTTTCTTTCTGGAAGCTCAATTGCTAGTTCTCCTTTCCCTCTCATCTTCATGACCTCTCCCTCCAAATTTTTTTTTAAAGGCAAAGAAAAGAAATCTAATATGCATAATCATGTAACCAATATGCATAGTCAAGCAAACATTTCCGTATCAGCCATGGCTAAGAATGTGTGTCTCCTTTCTGTATCGTGAGTTCATCATCCCCCTGCCAAAATGGGAGTAGCCTGCTTTACCATCAGTAGTATAGAATCCTGGTTTGTCATTGCTTCAGTCAGAGTTCTTTAGCCTTTCAAAGTGTGTGGTTTTTTTTTTTTTACATTATTGTTATTGGAGAAATAGTTCTCCTGGTTCTGCCTACTTTTCTTTTTACCAGTAGATTCGAGTTTCCCCAGGTTTTCTGAAACTATCCCTTTCATCACTTCTTATGGAATGTAGTATTCAATTATATCCATATATCATAATTTGTTCAGCCATTTGCCAATTGATGGACTTTACTTTCCAGTTCTTTTATAGCATGTTCTTTCTAGTGTTTTGCTCATCTGGTTTTGTTCCCCTAGAAAAATCACACGTATCACTTTTCCAGGGAATGCAGCTTTGTGGCTTGCATCTCTCTCAATTGTTCTGGATAGATGGTATAACTCTTTTTTTTAAAAACTTAACCCCAGATTTCCCAGTGACCTCCTAGGTGAGCTTGGGCAAGGCACTCACCTTTGGGCCTCAGTTTCCTTCTCTTTAAAATGAAGGTATTGGGCTAAGTGGCGTGTAAGGTTCCTTGAAGTTTTCAATTTGAGATCCCACAAATATGTGATTTTCAGTTTTATGACCTTGACTATGTTGAATGGTTCTGTTTCTTACTGAGTGTCAATGGGTGTAGCCATGGTATCTCATTAATCGAACTATGAATCAGTGAGGAGTTTTGGTCCTTTTAAAAAATAATTCTTTATAAGTAGCATTAAAAAGGATGAATACAAATTCTACTATACTATTTGATGCAAAAGAGCTATTTTGCACCAAATAATATGTATAGTTTGATGACAAATTTGTCTGGAGGTAGATGGATTCAAGTAGAACCTTTATTTCTTGCATTCACTGCCCCTACTAAATATATGACTGCATGGAATTTTTCCATTGGAAGTGACCTCAGTGGCCATCCAATTCATCCCAAACCCAACAAGTGATCTTGTATTGTCTGTTGGAATATCTTCAGGAGTGGGGAACCCATTAAATGGTACAGTGGATAGTGTACTGGGTCTGGGGTTAAAAGACCCAAGTTCAAATTTTGTGTCAGGCCCTTGGTAGTTATGTGATCATAAGCAAATCATTTGAGCTCTGTTTACATCAGTTTCTTCGTCTGTAAAACAAGGATAATAATAGTACTTATTTCCCATGATTGTTGTGAAGATCAAATGAGATTATAATTGTGAAGTTCTTAGCACAGTGCCTGGCACCTAGTAAGCACTATATAAATGTTAGCTATTATTATTGTAGCTTTTAAAGGAGAACCAGGTTCAAAACGTACAGATTTTCTGCAATGTTTATTTAAAGTGTAGCTAATTATTCTGAGTAATAAAGGAAAAACCAGTTATTGCCTTTTAATGGTCTTATTTCCCCAGTAAAGCCAGAGGTTTTCTAAAAGAAGCCATCAAAAAAAGTGAACATTGCTTTAAAACACTCACACAGAGCAACGTTATTTTGCTCTATTGAACTATCTATACTTCATAATTTTAACCAATAATTATGAGAACCGTTCTTGAAGGAATTAACTTATACAGCTCAGCATGCATGAAATCACTTGATGGGCCGTGAGTGTCTGTACTCCAGAGCAGCTTAAAATTTCTTCACAGTACACAAATACAGGGCTGATGGTTTTATTGTGAGAGTTTCAATCCTGTATTAGAGCATTCAGGCCAAACTATGCACGGAAACATGGTCTTAGAGAGAGAAGCAATTTGGAATAATTCTACCATGTAGTTCTTTATAGAGGCAGGCAGTCAATTAAACAGAAGATCTGCTTTACAAAAAGCCAGTTATCTGAATTTGGAGTCAAAGGGCTGAGTTAAAATCCTGACTCTGCTCCTTACTACCCTTGAGACCTTGGTCAAGTCACTTCCTCTTCTTGGACTCAGTTTCCTTATGTGTAAAATGAGAGTGGGACTAGATGACCTCTAAGACTCTTATCCATTCTAGATCTATGATTCTGTGGCCACAGTGACCACTTGATAAGTTTGAACACTCACAAGCTAAACTAGTTGTATCTGAGCCAGCCTCTTATGAAGGCAAAGCCAATTATACTTTCTTCAGTACTTTGAAAGGTCTGATTTTATTAGTATGTGTATTTTCCTAAATGACAAATGGCAACGCCGCCACAACTTTGTCATTGGACCAGTAGAATATGAGCTCCTTGAGGGCAGGCTTGGCACACAGTAAGTGCTTAATAAATGGTTGTTGGAATGATTTGGATTTTGATTTGCTATGGTTATCATTCTGGTGAAGGCTATCCTGGAGATGGTGGCCTTTCTATCAGTAGACCCATTTTTGAAAAATTTTCCAAATGAATTCAATGTCTTAAATTCTCCCAGGGCATTTCGTTTAGACCTCTCCTTTGTTCTAGTCTCACCCTAACTTGTATTATACCTATCTGTGTGTATACCATAGACTTCCCCATGGAATATAAGCTCCTGGAGGGAAGACGATGTAATTTTTAAACTTTATATCCCTAGTACCTAACATAAAGTTTTGAATTTACGGGGTATAGAACTTGCCAGAGTTTGTATTTCATTGGCATGGTCTTCAGAAATCCAAGCTCACATCTTCATTGTAATAAATATCAAAGCAGGAATTTAAAATAATTTTACACAAATTCAAATATACTGCACAGAGCCATAACTATTCCTTTTTGAATCTGGGTCAAGATTCTCAAGATTTGACCAGTGCAATTAGGACAAAAGTGCCCTCAAAATACCTTTTAAAGAGAAATTCAGATGGAGCAGAAGAGACAGCACATGGCACTTTGTTGACAAAGATCTCAGGACACAGGGAAGGGTAGCTTGAGGACCCATTATAAGCTGGCCAATTCTTTTTTAATGTTCTATTCATGCTAAGTGCTAAGCTCAGGCATTTTAGTGTTTCTACATGGTAAGTGCTGTCGACACCCTCTAAACTTTAGTGCCCAGGGACAAAAATCCAATCTCCCCGCCCTCGGTATAGCTCAGTGCTTGCATTATGTTGTTGCTTTAATAACTGCTGTGGTCTCTGCTACTTTGAGAAACTCACTGCTTTGTCATTTCCTTTGTTGTAGGTCACCCGGTAGCCCAGAATTAGCTGGGTTTTGTTGTTGGTGAGAAGAACACATGTGCCAGAGTGCTCACTCAGATGATCACATAGACCTTTTGAGTGAAGATTCTCTTGGACTTGAGGACTTTGAGTCTCCAAATGGGCATCCTGGCTGGCAGCATCTCCTACCTGCTCTAGCACCACTTGCTTTTTAGGATGTCCCCTGCTTGGGAATGACACAAATTTAAGAAAACTGAATTAACACTGAATTACAAGTTTTTGAGAAATCCCCTAAAGAGGGTCAATCCTAAGAACATCTGAAAGCAAATTGCTTCTTTCATAAAAATGATTTTGATTTTAAAGGAGAAATGATTGAGTTTGAAACAACCCACAGCTGTCCTTTATGTGTGTATGTGTGTCCCCCACCCCCAGTAGGCAGTGCATTGGCTTGGGCTGAAACTTACCCAAATACCCAATGGACTTAGAGGAAGATGCTAGAAAAGCATGTTGTCAGTAATTTTTATGGGTTTGGATCAATGAAATAGGGGAAGTGAATTTTTTGAACCTTTAGCATCAGTGGGCTCTGTATTTTGGTTTTGATATGTACAATTTCCCTCATCGTTTCAGATTTTGACTTGTTGAGAATAGATTGTTTTAGTAACTATTTGTTAGATAGACAAATAATTGAGTTTGAATTATTCTTCGGGTGTTGACTTCTGAATGTGAAATAGCTAGGCATTGGTGCAACATCTCTCCTTATATTTGTTAATGAGATCCCTATTAAGGGCAGATCTACAGAGAAAGGAAGTTTTGTTTAGATTTTCAGTCTTTTGACTATATTTTGAGAAGTTATTTAAAATTCAAAAATGTCTCTGTTCTAGATGAAAAAGAATGATCTCCCCTTGATCCAGTTTATGGTAATTATAAGAATTCTGCATTCAATTCTGTAACTGAACCAATTGTTTAAAATGCCCACTTTTGGGAGGGAGATAATGGTCTCATACCACCTTACATTTTTCTCCCATTGTTTTCCCCATCAGTGCATTATTCATCTTGTTTCTGGAAATGTAACTGTCAAAGGAAGTGAAACTTGCGTTCCTTTTCTCCTAGCTTTATTATTTTGAAATTCAGATGCCTCAAAATAGACCAAAATACAGTGATGCAAATGTGCCCATGAATGGCTGTTGACCCAGATGCCAAATGCATAGCGGTTATGAATATGTACACACTATTCTAATACCATGGGACTGATTTTTTTATATCATCAGAAATGCCAAGAACTTACACTTTGTTGCACTAATTTAGTCCATTGTACACATTCTTTCTAGTTTATGAGCAGTAGCACCAATACCAGAATGTTGTTTATAACAGTGACAATTAAAATTCAATTTTACTCCTGTAGAATGATCAAAGTCAGTTGCAAAGAACCAGCTGTGTGGATCCATTGTTTGGTTTCTAGGAGTTTGTATTTTAATTTTATAGTTTCCTATTCTTAGGATTCTGGTAGATGCTGTATTAGTTAATAAGTAAAAGACAAAACAAAAACCAAAACTCTTTCTGCTGATGTTTGAAGGATGTATGAGGAGATGAGTGTGTGTTCTCAAATGTCAAAGGATTTGCATTTAAAAAAAATGACTCTGTCTTGTCTAAGCTGGAAAAAACAGGGCCTACTCAAAGACTGATCCCATTATTCATTGGTGTGAAAACTTTGATCTTCTCTGTTGGGGCTGATTCAGTCTTCCTTTGGCAATTTGTGCCTTCTCTCCAACCCCCCCCCCCACCTCCTGAGATCTCACCATATTAATGCCAAACTTACTGCAGACATAGCCTACCAAAGCTCAGAACTCCTCGGTATGAGATCTGCCAGTCTTTGACTCTTACATAGATGGGATTATAGTCATGCGCCATCAATCCTAGCTTTGGATGTTTAATGAACTGGCAAAAAAGAGAGGAGAACCTTGAAATCTAAGGCAACCATGCTTTTGACAAAGATAATTTTTCCATTTACCAATGATATGGCATGAAGAGAAGATTAGTAAAAATTTACAAATACTACTTGTGTGCTTTTTCATAGAACAATCTATTTCTGGTCTGTCCCCTCTCCCTCCAAGATAGCTCTTTCTTTCTTAGTATCATGGGAGAATAAACAGATTTGAAGCTAAAAGCAGCACTTGAAGTCATTTAATTCAACCCTCACATTTGACATATGAGGAAACTGAGGCACAGAAGTGATGTGATTTGTTCAAAGTCACACAGATAATTAATTACAAATGGAGGATTATGCTGCCTCATACCTGTGTAAAGGACCTGTGACTTCTCTTGTGGGAGATCACTCTTGACCAAAGCCCGTTGCAGTCTGTTTATGACTTTGAGTGCCAGGGAGTTGTCCAAGGTTCAGCCAAGTTAAAGTGAGTCACACATGGTCACCCAGCTAGTAAGTGTCAGAGTGGGATTTGAGCCTGCAGCTTTCTGATTTCAAGCCCAGTGCTATTCATTATGCTATCCTGTCATTCATAATTTCAGTATCATTGCTTTTACTTATTCCTCTAGAAAATATTGCCATGGAATATTTTTTTTTGCAATTTTTCTTCAGTTAACAGAGATCCCTAGTGCTTGCCAGTTCCTCTTCCAGATAGCATTTTCAAGAGGAAATTTTCTTCCTTCTTTTTCCCGTTTCATTCATCTCCCAACTTGTGAATTTCTTGCAATGGTTCCCTCACCTTTCCACTCAGACAATGGACTTGGAGAAGCACTTCAAGGCCCTATGATCTATATCATTGATGTCAAAATCATATAGAAATGGGGGCTACTAAAGCAAATATATTGCTATGGGCACCATATTTTCTTAGAATCCACATGTTAACATTATTTAGGTTCTATTGTATTTTTGTTCATTTCATTAAATATTTCCCAATTACATTTTAATCTCATTGGCACTGGCGAATGTTGAGGGCAGAAGGCTTGACACTTTTGCTCTACATCTACTAGTTTATTTTTTAGGTTTTAAATTAACTTAGTTTAATTGTGCCAATAAGTGAGTCAACAGGGTGACAAAGGAGTCCCAAGTGGGTAATACATTGAGAAGCATGGAATCTGGGAATACAATGATAAAACCACTGTACCTACGTGACATCTGGAATATTGCATTCAGTCCTGGATGCAATATTTTAGGGAGGACATCGATGAACTAAGATTTCCCAGAAGAAGGTAACTAGCATGAGGAAAGGCTTAGAGTTTACGCCATGTGAGTATCAGTTGGAAACATTAGGCAAGTTTAGGTTGGAGAAGAGAAAACTCAGGGACATGTGACAAGTGGCTTTAAGTATTTGAAGAGTCTTAACATGAAAGAGGAATGAGACTTGTTCTGTTTGGCCCCATAGATCAGAAGTAGGAATGATGGGTAGAAGACGCAAAGTGGTAAATTTAATCTTGAAGTAAAGAAAAAGCTAGGTGGTGCAATGGATAGAGTACTGGACCTGAAGTCAGGAAGACTCATCTTCATGAGTTCAAATATGGCTTCAGACACTTGCTAGCTGTGTGACCCTGAGTAAGTCACATTCTTTGCCTCAGTTTCCTCATCCATAAAATGGGTTGTTGAGGGAAATGGGAAACTACTACAGTATCTTTGCCAAGAAAACCCCAGATGGGTTGGCAGAGAGTCAGAAATGATTGAAATAACTGAACAACAAAAGGAAAAAACTTCCTGTCAGGAAGATCTAATCCTGAATGGGAAAGGCTACCTTGGATCCACCCTCCCGGAGATCTTCAGTCAAAGGCTATGTGCTCACTTGGAAGGTATGTTGTGGAGGCATGGCTTAGACTAGATGACCCTTGAGGTCCCTCCCAATTCTGAGATTATTACATTAGTCATGGATTTAGGTGCAATGTATGCAATAATGTGGAGAGAAGTATGAGTTGTTAATTCAAAAGGGAATTGTGTGGATTATGGAAAAGAGATGCATGAAAATTATATTCTGAGACATTTGAAGGAAATCACACTTTTGCCTCATTTATTTGAATATTTTGGGTCAAAGTATTGATGTCTTAAGTTATCTAGAAAACTGCCTCAATTCTCCCTTGCACAGCTATAGCTCTTGTGTAAATTTCTTGCTTTATGGACTCCATTAATTCTTGCAAGACAAGTAAAATTCTCTGCTCAGGAAGGGGTAGTCTTCTAAGAGGAATCCTGCAGACTTCAAATAGATACCACTTTCATGTGGGAAAGAATTTACACAAAGATAGCAGTGTTGGCTCACAGAAATCTGATAGCTCGTAAAGGACTAGGAAAAAAATGATAATACTTTATGGGACTTTTTTGGGGGTGGAAACTACTTCTAGGGAGTAAATTGGGCATTTGGGGAAAGTGTCAGATGATTCTGCTGCCATTAAGTGAGTTATCACTCTGGGGTGGATTTGCCTTTCTACCCAGTTTATTAACTCTCTGGGTCCTATTATGCCTCTGTTTTTGAAGAAGCCTTTGCAGCCATCATCCCCATTGTTTTTCTGTTGGGGATTAAGATAGAGATATATTTCTGTGACTTTATAGAATTGGAAGCTGAGACCAAAATTCATGGATAAAATATGTGCTGGTCATGTGAGCAAGAACAGGTGAGTTCTAAAGGGTCATGACTCTTGGTCATCTCTCCTCTTCTCTAGAAATATAAAATTTGTGTAAGGTCTTACGAGTAGTTGCATTTTCAGTCCTTGGGATGATGGTGAGACACTGTAGCATAGTTCAGTGATTTCCAAAACTGGGAACAAGGCCTTTTGGAGCATCTGGGCATGATCTCAAGAGGTGTGTGATCAACCCCAATCAGAACATGGGAAAGTAGGTCACAGTCTACTCTTCTTATGATAGCTAAGTGTGGAGCTTGTCAATATCTCACCTCATTTTCCAACATTCTCCAACTCTGACCTTTTCTTGGTTGTGTAAGCTTCCACTTTCACTTATTCTAAGCTAGGTGTTGACCTCTCAGGGCAGTCATAACCTAACTACTATCCAGCTACCTCAGCATGTCCACCCTCTGCCCTCAGAACACTGGGGGGCTGTATGTAGAAGGCATCTCTCTGATAGTGGTCTCTGAGCTCTGGGACAGTGACCCACAGTGAGTCAGAACCCAAATTCTCAATCTGCCTTTTTGTTTTGGGTGAGATAGCTTGAGTCTCATAGGATGAGCATGTATGGATGTGTTGTGATCTGGGTGTCATATCTCATTACATTATCTTTTCTGTTGAACCTGCTCTTTATCTGAGCTTTCCTATTTTTTATGAAGGGCTGTTATCCAGCATACAGTCTCCATGGCATCCTTAGCTTCTTAGCCCATAGATTCATTCAGGCATCAGATTTTGTTTTTCTCTTGCTTTGTCCTCTTTTGTCTACTAACCCTAACCACCCTAATTCAGGCCCTCATCACCTCTCACCTGGACACAGCAGAAGTCTTTTGATTGGTCTGCCTGCCTCAAGTCTTTCCCCTCTCCAACCTATCTTCCAAAGATGAATTTTCATCTGCCAAAAGTGATTTTCCTAAGGCAAACAGATGATCATCTCACTCCTCTACCCAGTAAATTTCAGTGATTTCCCATTGAATCTAGAATAAAATATTATTTCATCTTTAGAAAATCTTTTAAAATGTTGATTCTTAATGTAACTCTTATGTTTATAATTATTTATATGATAATGCTTGTATATGATAAATGAGTAAGTATGTATATATATGTATATATGTTGGGGTATGCATGTTAATTTTTTTTTTCTGATGGGGTATACCATTCAAAAGTAAAGAGGCTGCTGACATTGTAGATAGAAAGACAACCGTGAAGTCAGGAAGACTTCATCCATAGGCCCCAAACCCACCATTTGAAATTTACTAGTAGTATACCAGCAGTAAATCACCTAATATCTCTGAACTTGTTTTCTCATCTGAAAGGCAAGGATAATAATACTTATAGCAACTATCTCATGGGATTGTTGAAGGCTCAAATGTAAATACAAAGCCCTCTGCAAATTTAAAGGTTCTCTGTCTCTCTGTCTCTGTCTATCTCTGTAGTTAGCATTTACCAGCCTTATTATTGTTCCATGAATATTGTATAATTTTTTTCATCCCATTTCTTCCTAAGAATTCTAAGCCAGCTCATAGCCATTGAACTCTCCAGAAGAAACACTTTTTATTTTGAAATTTAGGTGAAATACCTTGCTTCTAAAGTATATATAGTAGAAGCTTTTCTCTGCACAGACAGGAGCCAGCTGTCTTGTACATATACTTTTAAAAATAGATTTAAAATATGTTATTAATATCTTTTGTTTTGACATAATCTATGTTTTTTCCATGAGTTCCTTTCTCTATTCCCTCCCAGAGAGCAACCCTTATAATACAGAATGAAAAAGAGGGAAAAAAAAGGTCAGCAAAGCCAATTGATATGTTGTAAAAGTGTGACATACATAGTCTTCCACATTTGTTGACCACCTGCCCAACCTTTGCAGGGAAGTCCATTTGGGGGTGTCTTCTCATAGCTCTTGTTTGTGGATAAACTTTGTCATAGTAATTTGCAACATTTTGAATTTCAATTAACAACAAAAATTCCTATTCAATTAACTTACTCTGTTCTTTTCTATTTTGTATGTATTTTATAGGGCAGCTAGATGGTGTAGTGGATAAAGCACCAGACATAGAATCAGGAAGAGTCCCATCTTTCTGAGTTCAAATCTAGCCTCAGATGCTTATTAGCTGTGTGACCCTAAGCAAGTCATTTAACCCTGTTTGCCTCAGTTTCCTCATCAATAAAATGAGATGATGAAGGAAATGACAAATCATTCCAGTATCTTTGCCAATAAAACCCCAAATGGGGTCACAAAGTCAGAAATGACTGAACAATAGGAACATGTATTTTACATGTATATTTTAGTGATACAATTTTACCACTGAAAAATTCTTTAGGTTTACCCCAGAAATTCTCACATATCTTTTCATCATCATTGTCTATTTCATAGTTATTAATTGTTTCTACAATTAATTGTTTAAAATTTAAGATTTCTCAGCCTCCTTTAACGTGTGCATCTTTGCTTGTAGTCTCTGAATTTATTACTATTTTATTACATTATGGTCTGTAAATACATGCTTACTATTCTTGCTTCTTAACATTTATTTGCAATTTATTTATGCCCATGAGGACATGTTCTATTTTTGTAAAATTGTCATGTGATCCTGATGTATACGTATATTCTTTAATTTGGTAAATCTTTTAGCTTTCTATTTTCAGTTTGTACAATTCTATATTTTCCCTTTTCTTTTTATTTATCTTAAATTTTCCAGCTCTGAGGAGGAACATTAAAGTCTCCTACTCTTATCCTTTTTATATCAATATCTTTTTGCAATTTTGTTAATTTTTGTTTTACTAATTTTGATGACTTTTCATTTGGCATATACACAGTGTCTGGAGAGTCTTAGTGCAATTTTAAACTTTAATAACTTTAGAAGTTTAAATGTTACTAATAAAAAAAATTTGAAATTTTATTTAGCATTTTATACTTATTCACTTTTGTGAATTTTGAAAAAAATAACTTTAACAAGTTGGAGTACTCTGCCATTATTCAGTATGATTAATAGTTTCCAGATGACAACTTCTCAGACCGGTGGATCAGCATAGCAGATCTTCTTGTTTGGCACCATGGCTACTTGATCTATTTACATTAGACTTTTTTCCTTTTTTTTGTGAGGGCACATCAAAACCATCATGTGTGCA